CTGGATTTAACTCCATTCACCACAATTCTCTATGCTCAGCCATTGTCCTGGTTTGACTGGGATAGAATCATAGGCCAGCCATTGGCAGGAGTTTCAAGTCAGCCAGGGCAGCTGGTCCAAGTGAGTTACAGGTGTAGCCCATCCCATCATGGGCATTTTCAAGGGGGAAGGTTTGTTAAGCAAGCAAGGTATCCTTCTGCTGCTCCTCTAGCCGATTGCAACTGCTTGTCTACATTGACTGCTCTGGCGACAGCATATTTGTTCGGCTAAGTATTTTCTGTTTGTACTTGTGGTGGTTTTGTTAAATCTGTTGTACTTCCACCTATGGGTCCTCTCCTTTTTCCAGATTCCCCTCCCTGACTGGTGAGGGTTCATCAGGTGATAGAGTGACTGTTAGGTTTAGCCCCAGGTACAGGCTAAATGTAGCAGCTGTCCAGCCAGATTTTAACCCAGCTTAGTGTACACCTGTCTAGGCCATGAGCTGCCAGCTTTCCTAGGAGAATGCTATGAGAGATGGTATCAAAGGCTTTACTAAAGTCCAAATGATGACATCCACAGCCTTCCCCTCATCGACTAGGTAGGTCACTTGGTCATAGAAAGAGATCAGGTTGGTTAAGCAGGACCTGCCCTTCATGAATCCATGCTGGCTGGGCCGGAGTCCCTGGTTGTCCTGCACGTGCCATATGAGCACACTGAAGATGAACTGCTCCGTAATCTTCCCTGGTACTGACATCAGGCTGACGGGCCGGTAGATCCCCGGATCCTGCATCCGGCCCTTCTTGTAGATGGGCGTCGCATTGGCAAGCCTTATGGCTGTGATGGAGGAGGAGATAAAGGGTACATTTAATGTTAAGCATTACATTATGTTCTTACAGGATATGACCAGATCTAGCTTGTTTTTGTTTTTCCCAGCAGGGATGTCAGGATCGTAAGGTGAAGGTGCGAACAATGGGGCAAACAAACGTTTTAATGCAGAGAGCTTCCTGAAGATGGAGCATCCTTAACTGTTTTCACATGTAGTGAGAGGAAATGCCCCTACTAAAGAGTCTCCCAAAGAGGCCCAAGAGTGCTATAGTTCTTCTTCCAGGGAAAGTGAAGATGGAAGGGGGATGGAAAGGAGATGGAGGAAGATCCAGGCAAAGAGAATAATGTGAGGCATCTCCTTGTCTTCAGGTAAACTGTTCCCTGTTTGGATAAAAATCCAAGTAGTTTTAGTTATGCAGAAGTTCACCATGGCATTCTCTCAAACTTTTGGTTAGCCATAGCACACCTTCCGGACTCTCAAGTTACATGAGCATTGTTCTGGTGGAAAAGGAAGGAGGCTGTCTGTAACTGTGGCTTTCCAGACACAAGCTACAAGGCAGCTTTGAGCTTGGAGAGCAATGCCGTGTGTCTGCCCTTTACTTTTCAGGGAGAATTTTAGGGAATATTGCCAGTGTAGAAAGGAAAAGATACACAATTTGTACCAGGAGTTGTCAAGTTCTTTCCCTTTCTTCCATCCTCTGGACGTATATCACGTGTAGTACAGAAGGGACCATAATAAGGGAATGAGAAGAGGCACGCTACATTTATTGGTATAAAAAAATAAATAAAAATAAATGGTAAAGTCCAAAAATGTGGATGCTAAAACTGTTGCTGTGTATTAATGTGGGTATGCAAGTAAAAATACTAAATGTAAGTTTACTTGTTGATCTTCATCTATTGCAAAAGGACCACTGTCCATTTATTAACCAGATACAGAAAATAAGTGGTCTAAGGGGGAAAAAAAAAAGTCTGATATCCTTTCCACAGACTTAAGAGAAAAAGATTATTTAGCTTTTCTAGGGAAAATATAGGCACTTCAGTGGAAAGTTTGGTTTAAATGAAACAACATCCACAGTATGCCATCAAAAATAATTGGAGAAATTTTGCTCATAATCTTGGTTAGTATTTTACATGTTAATTTTTTTCTTTTAGACCTGTACAAGGTATCATGTAGTAGCATGTCATATGGTTAGATACCACGAATAATGCATAGTGGGTGGCCAGTCCTTTTTGTTATTTTTCTTGGTTTCCTGGCATGGTTTAAGTACAGGTTGAGACTCCACAATACTTCCAACTTGCTGATTTTGCTACAGCAGGGTCTTTAAAGAGACACTGTCTGTTACATTTAAGCTCAACTTTTAGGTTGATTCAAGAAAAAGATTTTACATCCTAGCGCGTGCAGGAAGCTTATAAATGCACCTCTCAAGTCTGCAAGCACTTACACGTGTTTTACTTCACATAGGAGACTAATCTCAGGCATGTGTTTTTGCTATTTGTGGGGGTATAACAGGAGTCCCATTTTATGCCTTTAGACTTTAATAGATAATGTATTAAAGAAATGAACACAATTGTGATGTTTACTTTCTAAAAATAAAATGATGCAATTGAAATACCAGAAGATAAAGAGAGCGATCCTGTTAGTGCATTTAATATGCGTTGCTAAATGTTGTATGAATCAGAGTCAGTATGAAACTGATCTCGTGTCAGGCAGTGGGCTGTCAAACTGATTCTTCCTGGGACATGAACAAATACATTTTTTTGAATCTACCATTATGAGATCTCGTTAGATCTTAATTTGCGTTGGAGGCTAATTTGATGAGTGGTCTGATGGTTTCTTCCAGCTCCCTTCTAACTCGCTTGTAGATCCACATTTTTAATAGCATGGTGGGGATTTTTCTTGCCTTTGAGTCAAATTCTCCTTTTTAGTAAGAACAAAATGTTGATATTTTGCCTAGCCTTTTATCTTCCAAGAACAGAATGGTTGTCCAGTCAGTGCACGTAATGTTCCGTTAATATTAGAGTTGGCATTTCTGAAGGGAAAGAAAAAAAAATTGAGAGTTATTTCTTCTGGAGGTGGAGGAGATGAGGAGTGGGAACAGAAACTTATTAAACACAACATTCTTGGTATTCCACAGATGGTGAAAATGGATTACTAGTCTGCACTGCAGCAAGTGCAGTGTGATCAAGGCGGAAATATAATCGGTAGCTAGACGTTCATTTTATTTACAGAAATAAAATACTAAGCACTGTTTTAATAACTTTAAATGGCAGAGCCCTTATATGTATTGTACATTCAATTTGAGTAGTCTAGACAGACTGTTTTCCAAGGAAAATACATTTTCATCAATATTTGTGGTATGATTCATGGTGGTGAAGAGGCAAATAACTTTTTATGACTGGAAGTTGCTTTAACTTGCAGCCACAAGGAAACAAGTCAATGACCGGATGGTAGTGGTGGAAAGTAGCATTTTATAGTAATAGAGGTCTACACCTTATGCTGAGTTGAAGGTTTTATTTTTCCAAGGATGGCAATATATCACAAAACATTCTGCCATTGTTTACAAACAACCAAAGATGGTCTGTGTAATGGCTTGCAGTCTACAGTTTAGACTTGCAAAGCTCACAAGCGACTTAAAAGGTGTACAGGCCGTCGGGAGGCTGTGATTTGGTCAAAGTAATTGTAAACCTTTGTGCATGCCCCCAGTGTAGAGGGGGCACACCAGCTATATCTTTCATGCATAGTTAATGGTTAGCAAAGCTTTAAAAAGAGATATGCAAGCTTGCTAGCCTTTTGTTTGCAGTCTGGCGAGCGATGATGTACATCTTCATACATGCTTTGATTGCATTTATTTTATATCTCTAGGTAACTGCAGTAAAGGCAGAGGATTCTACTTGTAACTATCTTTGGGCTGTCTGCCCCGAATAAAAAGAATGAAAATTTCTTCTTATGACTGCGTAAGACTTCTTAAGCCTCTGCAGCCAAGGTCAAGGTTTTTCAGAGTGATTGGTGAGCATGTTCATGGGCTTCTGTTCTTGACTAGAGAAATTGTAGTAGGAATTTGAAAGTTAAGTCTGATTATCCACCAGGGAAAAGCTCATGTTCTGTAAGGAAGACTTCAAGATGTGTTGTATGAATATAAACATGTAAATAATACTCACTACAGCAAACTATGTTGTGTGATAACATAATGCTTGCATATAGAAATCTAATCAGGAAAGATACTAGGGGGAAGAAATTGCAGTTGATCTTGTTGAGAGAGGCTTACCAGCAATAAACTTTTCTAACTTTAGTACTGGAACTGCTTTAATAATTTTTTTTTGAACCATTATCACCTAACCATGTGGAGCAGAAGGAAGCAATGTATTGTGTTTTAAAATCATAACGCTTAAAATCTTTGTCCTAATAACTTCAAGGATTTAAACGTTCATCTGATACACAATCTGATTCTGCAGATGACGCTGTGTGAAACGACATCTTTGTGAGGAGCAAGATGGGGTCAGGCCTGTGAAAGGGTGTGTCCTTCAGACCATATGAGTAGTACTGCAATACCATTGTTAAATGAAAGCCGTGTGCTAGAGTTTGGTTCAGTTAGTGTATGATCATAAGAGATTGAAAGGAACAAATGGAGCTGTGATCTTGAAGGTACTGCACTGCTGGAGTGCATTTAAGGCATCCTCATGCAGGAGCATAAAGTATCAACTGTCTCACCTTTTGCATGGGTAGCATTGAACAACTCTAAAAGATCAGTTTACATGTAGACAACCATTTAGGTACCAAAATTCATTAGGAAAAGAGTCACTGTTTCCCCTTGTACATGTTATATAAAAAGATGATTTTGTAGAACCTAGAAAATTCTCCATTGCAGGCTGGTTGTGAAAGCAACATGTAATCTGAGTATTTGTATTTGCTAAAGAACATCCTGCTTTTATAGGAACCATTGAAATCTTGGGGGGAGAGGGCAGAATTTCTTCAGCTCTAGGGTCGATCAGTGTATCAGCAGTTACATCTTTATATGCGTAATTTCACGGTGGTTGACCATCAGGTTAAAAATAGTCTTGTTGACCATACACAGCATAACTTTTTTTAATTAAAATTTAGGTGTGCCAATAGCTACAGAATTATTTGTTGAAGTCAGTGCTTATAGACACCAGCAGCTAGGGGATGGACGTAAGATGTTAAATAATAGTCCTATGGAGAAGACATACTTTTTTATAATTGTTGTGGGTAGTATTTCCCAATTGCTAGCTAATGCAGCTGGAAAAAAAAAAGTGGTTGACAATTTTTTTTAGCTTCATAATGATCTGTACGTTTTCAGGGGAAAAGTGAAATAGTCTTGTCGTCTTTGTTTTCTTTGTTTTCTTTTTTTTTTTTCTTCCCCTTTTCAGAAAGCATATGACTTATTGAATGGTTGGCAAAATGGTTTCAGTTGGTATACTGTGCAATGAAGGCTGTCTTAATTAGTTTCTAGTTTTTCTTGCTTTTGCTATAAGGACAATGAAATTGTTGGAGAGGACAAAAGCAGTATCTGTATTGTACAGATTTCTAAGCATAGTTTAATCAAATGTTGCAGCAGTCAAGTCCAATAGAGGTCAAACAAAAAAAGAGAATCATGGAAATTGAACGTGAAGAGACTTCCGTAGTTGGGAATGTAATACTTCACTTTTATTGTCTCATTTGAATTTTTTAACACACGCATACCTTGCTGTGAATTAACAGCTCTAGTTAGGTTTTGGGGGGGTTTCTTTTTTAAAGTGTAAATACCAAAGTATAGATTTCCAGTGCTCATATCAAAATTCACACTCACTTGGTAGCTTGGTGCTAGGCTAGTACATTTTATCTGGAATAGTCTTTGGAGAGAAACACTGCATATGAGACATTTGCATACTCCAAGACCACCAGGTGCGCCTGTGGGCTTTTGGGGAGGAATGTTTGGTTGGTTGGTTTTTTTAAGCGTAACCACACAGATACTATTGTGATGTGATTCAGAGAATATGCTGTGATGAGCTACTCTATTTGTGGTGGTGTTATAACACAACACAACCAGTTTAATGCTGTTTGCTGCTCTTCATCATTGGCTTTCCATCTGTGACTGCGTTGTGGTGGTGTTATAACATAACACAACCAGTTTAATGCTGTTTGCTCCTCTTCATCATTGGCTTTCCATCTGTGACTGCTGTACATGGCACATAAATTGTAGCATGGTTTGGGTGGAAGGGATCTTTACAGATTATCTAGTCCAACATCTTCCACTAAACCAAGTTGCTCAAAACCCCCTCCAATGTAACCTTGAACACTTCTAATGATGGGGCATCCACAGCTTTCCCAGAGGGCAACCTGTTCCAGTTTCTCACCACCTGCATCATAAAAAAATGTCTTCTTTATATTCAATCTAAACCTACCCTCTTTCAGTTTAAAACTGTTGCCCCTTGTCTTGTCACTACATGCCCTGGTAAAAAGTCTCCCTCTATCATTTTTTATGATTTATATATTGAAAGGCCACAATATCATCTCTTGGAAGCCTTCTCTTCTCCGGGTGAACAACCCCAAGTGTCTTGGGCTTTCTTTGCAGGAGAGGTCTTCCAGCCCTTCGACCATTTTTGTGCTGCTTCTCTGGACATGCTTTAATAGATCCATGTCGTTCTTGTGCTGGGGACTCCAGATCTGGACACAGTACTCCAGGTGGGGTCTCACCGTATAAGTCTCTCCAGCTTGTTGGTGAAGACCCTATTGTCCCACTTGGTCAGGTGAATCTCGTCAGCTGCTAGCAGACCTGGCCTCTCAGAGGTAGATCTGTGATCATAGAAGCCAAAACATATGTATTCACACTGCAGTACGTGAACCATATTTACCATATGTCATTGACCTCATTGACCTGGCATCACACTAAGTACTCTGAAATGAGGCTGTTGTGGATAGTTGTTTGGGTTGTTTTTTGGTTGGGTTTTTTTTTTTTTTTTGTAATATGAATTACATATTTATTTATTTATTTGGTTAGTAAAAGGAGTTCAGGCACTGCAGAAGCAGTGCAGCAGTTACATTGCAGTTGTGACAGAGCACATCAATTGATTGGACAGATTGTGAGCTAGGTCCTGTTGTGTGTAATCTGTACTCCTGGTATAGTTCAATTACCTCAGGTGTTTGTAGCATCACATCTTTCTTTTGAATTGCTGAGATTTGTTGTGTGAGATTGCTCGTGTAAAAAAGAAATGTTGTATTATCAAGACGCTTTTTTCCGCTTAATTGTGATTAGATACAGTAGCTTTTGTCTCACAGATTATCTGCTTGCTCGTATATTGATTTGTGCCCTCTAATTAAAAGAAAAATGTTAACCATTACTGGTTAAACACAGAATGAAACTGGGTTTTTTCCATAGTATATTCACAGAATCGTGACCTTTTCCTAGATCCTTCTTGCTTGTTCAGGACATCACGATTGAACAAGGGCAGCATTGACAGTTTTCAGAAATATTAAGACTCCAGTGTGTGATTAATGGTGAATTTGTAGATATTCATTATCATACTGCAAACATGTTCACAGCATTTCATCTTTGTTACAGTAAGGATGGCAACTTCTAAAGGCTCTTTTAACTTTTTTTTTTTCCCTAGTCTGTAGTATTTTTTTTTTGGCAGTTTAATTTCTAAAGACCAAAGCGAAAACGTAACTGATAGCTGAAAAAGGTCAAGCAAATTTCGGGTAAAGATTGGAGTATAATCAACCAACCTCATGTCTCTTTGAGAGATCTTTCTCGTAGTAGAGTAGGTAAGGAGTTCACCAAGAGAAATAATACCCTGTTCCTAGGATTTACTGCCTTGTTAGTTTTTTGTATCAGGGAAGTATTTCCATAAAATGTCTTCTACAAATGTAGTGTGCCCATGCTCGCTGTCCTTTAGAAAAATTCTGAGTCAGCAGGATGGGAACCAGATGGGTGGGAGAAGCGGAAGCATAATGACAAGCAGAAAGTAATAAAAAGGTGCAGATGTGCAGGGAGAGATAACGGAGATCTTAAGAACTAAAGCATAAAGGAGAATGCGATTCAAAATTCATTATATAGAGGACATACATATTTTGGGCTTAAAAATATATATATATGGGGGGAAAAAGTTACTATTCCCTAAGACCTCATTTTAAACTTATTTTCTTTTTGTTCCCAAGAGGACATATGCCCAGAATTCTGGCTGCCAGCTGGCACAGCACCTTTCAAAAGAGACCTTATTTTATATTTTCAGAACCTGGCAATATCAGCCACCTCCATTGGTAACAGGCTGCTGTTTGTAATATCTGTTAAACTGCATTTTAACATTTAATTTCAAGTTTCTTTGCCAACCTATTAATAAGGGCTGGGCTATTGAGAGCTGTCAATAGGGCCAAAAAAAGTGTTTTAATTTTATGAGGTCTGTGGGTTCATGCTTATGTTTTTCATGAATTTACATCTTTTGGCAGGCTCTAGGATATTAACTGGTATGATGAAATATCATCTTCCCATATTTTAAGTCAGTATTGAGGGGAGACTGGAATAGATCCTTTGTAGTAATAGTAGAAATCTGCCATATTGAATTCAGTGTTAAAATTGGAGGCAAAGTTACTTGGAGTACTGCCTTTAATTTTTCTGGGATAGAAATCAGAAAGTATTGAGCAGCTCATCATATTATATAATGATTTGCCAGCTAAATAGAATTTAATGTGGGTAGCAAGGGAACAGATTCAGTACTCTTGCTCTGGCTCTACCTGCTGCAATGAAATTTTCAATCTGTCTCTGGGCAGCTTGAGGGAGCCTGGGGAGCTCTCTTAGCAGCAGGCAGAGCTGCACTTGCAGAGTTCAGATGATGACAGGCAGCCTGCTTGTGTTAATTTAATATGAGGACAAAAGCCACCTCGGATCCGGAAGAGGCAAAATGGCTGTTGCCATGTGGCAGCCACTGGTTCAGCATGGGTCTGCTTCAGTTTCTGCTAAAGGCATTGAAAGCTCCAAGCTTTCATTGATTTCAATCTGTCTTAATCCTTGACAATTAGTTCATGTAATCACTCGTAACCAATGTTTGATACTCATATAAGTCTAACTGAGGGGGGGGGGGAAAAACACAACATTTTGGGGGGGGGTATAATTGTACAATACTTTGTAGAATTATTTGCATTAGAAGAGAAAATGCAAATATTTATCTACAGTAGCAGTGAAATACTCCACCCAAAGCTTAATTGAGATGGATTCTGTAGTATATAGCTGTAGTGCTGAAGTTTATAATTTATATGAAATTCATGAGTGTTGCTTTGAATTCCTGTTAATATATTCTCTGTGTTTTTTTCAGCTCTTCGTTGTAGTCTCCAGTTTCTTGGAAATATTGCAGCGGGAAATGGAGATTCCCAGAATAGTATTTGGAAGTGTGCTTTCCCAGATCTCTTCTTGTAAGCATGGATGCGGGGTTTTTTTGTAATGTAATTTCTGTGGTTATTTTCAAATCTTTTGTACATGATAGTTGTGCCTCGACTAGCACCGTGAAGCTTTGAAAAATTACTTTGGTGAGAACGGGATGGTTGTGACCATATCCTGTAGATGTTGTGGTTTATTGGTTTTTGGTTTTTGTTTTGGTTTTTTTTTAGTCAACCGCAGGGGTCAGGACCTTTAAAAACCTGCTTCTTCTAAACTAACAGTAAATTGATTTCATTTAACAGAAACTGGAAGAAAACACTATTTCCAATTATGTGCTTCAAACATAAGCTTTATTTCAGAGGTATTTTCAAGTAGTTATACTCATTTTCAAGAACATAGCTTTTTCTTTATTCATGTTGCTACTGTGCAGACCTGTCAGTATGTGGGGATCAGATAGAATCTACAAAAGTGACTTAATCTTTGTGTCTTCCAATCCTTTTGCCCCCCTACTAAGCTCAGGAGAATATGTTCCTGGAGGTTTGAGGACATGCGTGTAATGAAGTATCACATAAACAGTTTTGTGCAGACACATGACAATATTGTTGATGTGTTTGGCCAAATTGTTTGTAGTGAGCTAGTAATAAAGGCACGTTCGTTCAACTTGATAATCATTCTGAGTGTGTTTTTGGAGCCCACTTGTCAGCACTAGACATAGAAAGACCTTGTAATAATAGAAGCAGATGATTATTACGGATTCACCAAATTTCTAGATCTCAAATTACCTCTGATTTATCAGTAGTTTTGTAAATTGCCTGTTAAGTTTTTCCTTCATCTGGGAGCTAGATGTCTTTCTTTGCAAATGACTTCTGTCCCTCTTAGACAATGACAAACTAATGATTCTCTAAAAGACAGCAAAGAATAACAATTCAACAAGCTGACTGTCACTAGTCTGTTTTTCCAGGGTCAGTTTTAACTTACTCTCTTAACTCCTTATTTTCTCTTGAAGGACATGCCTAACATACAGTGATGAGAAGATTGTTGCTTATTGTTGTATGGTCCTGTTCACCTGCCTCAATTCAGAGAAAGTGAGAGAACTTCTGGATCCTGGGAACTTGACTGTAGCTCGTCATGTCCTGAATGTCTACAAAGAGCAGTTGGAGTCTGAGTGGTCGTATGTATCTTTAGGGTTTTTTTCCCCTTAATTAGATGTTTTTGTAGTGTAAGTCTCTGTCTTAAAATGCCTAAATTTGTGACACTGGTAAGTAGTAAATGAAGATCTATTTAGAAGTTAGTAATTTGGTATAGAGATAATTTTCATGATACTTTCGCTGACTGTTTTGATTGCTGCTAAAATAAGGCTACATTTTTGTTGAGGATATAGGCAGGAATTTTAAAATCATGATCTGGTTTGTTGGTTGGTTTGTTGTTTTTTTTTTTCAATGAAACCGGGTTCTAGAATGCAAACTAATTTATACTTGTGTGCTGGTTTGTGGACATTTTTGAAATGAAGTTAATGCAGAATATAGTCTTACAGACTTTGGTTATTGGGTTGTGCTAGGAAGACTTGTATGGCTAATGATTGTAAATACTACATACAATGTAGGGTTGTTTTCTTCTTCTTTTTTTTTTTTTTTAAACAGATCTGTTGTCTAGTGCAACATGCAATCATTTTTGTACCAAAACAGAGAAGACATTTTGTTTGTGAATCTTGCATACTTCATACAAGAATTTAATCAGTGGTGTTATGGTATTACTCCATTGAGCTTTTAGATTTTTTGCTTACCGCCATTCTTGTAAATATTGTTGTCAGTTATGCATATGAGAAGTGTTCTGCCCTGCATCAGTAAGGATACACGTTCAGTTAATTGTTATATGATGCGTTCCAAGGGGAGAAAAAAGGATAGTTTTTATGTTTTTGTAGCATTCTTTTGGAGGACGTATTTAAATTCAAAATTTAATTAGGAAGAATTGTCGGGATTTTACTAGTTATTTGGAAAGTCTCTAAACAGAGTTGAGATGATTGAATGAAAAGCAGATGTCATTTAATAGTATGCTTTTGTACTGAAAACATGACTGTAACATTTGTTTGTGGATGGACTTTTTTTGTAACCAGGTCAATTTCCTTAGGACATAAATAGCTTTCAGAAAGCAAAGTTTCAGGGTCAGGTGGACAAACGTCTATTTCAAAAGTGACAATCTGAGTCTTTAGTTTTGGCATCTGTCAATATAAACACATGTGAAAGATTGCTTTTCAGGTAATTATCTTGATCATCCTTCACTTTCTTTATGTATTGAAGATATGCTGAGATGTATTTTGACTGAGATATGAAAGCCAGGGAGAGCTGGAAGAGGTTGTCTGGTGTTTAAATTTATATTTTGAAGGTAATTGCAGAATAAATGGAGCATCAAAATAAATGCTGAAGTATCTATTTCCCTGATTTTTCTAGTCTGAAGTGCATTCTGCTGACGTTGCGATGAAAATGTCTTACCTCCACTATGGATGTTTAATGTGGGTGGGAAATGATCTCTCTTCAGAGCAGTCTTGAAATTAAGAAGGGGCAAACTTCTATACAAGATACAAAACCACGATGAAGGAAAAGAGATGGGTAGAAAAGAGTAATCCTAGTTCTGCCATAAGGCAGTTGCAGAACATTTGTCCTCTAATTCCTGTCAGAATGCTGAGTTCCTCGTATGGGGAATATTAAAAAAAAAAAGCATTGGAATATCTTCCAGGCATTAAGAAAATAATACATTTGGTTTTCTTTCACAGTACTTTAGCACTGGCTATTAAGTCTCAAAGCTCATTATCAGTTTTCCCAAATGAAAGAAAAAGTAATGAGTTTGTAGTATAAGTTTCTTGGCATTTTATACAGTCGTCTTGAACCGAATTAGAAATGTAAATTTTTCAATAATGTTGGCACTATTTTCAAGGCAACACAGCTGAAGTGCATTCACAAGTGCAAAATCTAAACCAAGAAGTGTAGTGCAACAGCGCAGTATCAAGCATTGAACAGGTATTCAAACAGCAGTACCTTGAAAGTGAAAAAGATAATTCCTTGCTAGAAGGGGACTGATATTTCTGTCTGTTTGTAGCTCTAGAGCCTTTTTTTGATTTATCTTGTACCTATTTCCCCATGTGTCTTGATCGTCATTTGTTCTTCTAATACTCCATTTCTTATATCTCCCATCTCAAGAAACACATTTTTTCTCTGTTTCTCCCTCATGTTTGTCTGTTTGTATTGTGAGATAATACTTGTCATGGCTGAGGGTAATTTAAATGGCAAAATAGGTTCTTTCTTCATATTAGATTTTTTTTTTAAAAAAAAAAAGAAATAAACTGTATTTACATAGTATAGTACATGTGGTATCTCTGGTCTCCTTGGTGTGGAGAGGGAGGTAAGAAAGTAACATTCTCACATCCTTTCTTATTAAGAAAAGGAAAGGTTGCTGTAAGAGGTTTGCTTTTCATATTTTTAGTGGAAATCTGCTAGTGTGTACCATTCCTTATGCAACACTGAATTAAACACTTTCTTTTTCTGGTTTTGGTTATGATTTTTCTTTCTTTTTTTTGTTTCTTTTTTTCCCCTTTTCCACTTAGCCATAGGTCAGTGTGTTACACTAACATAATCCTTTTATCGTTGATGATACATGCATCTTATGAGCCTGTATTTCTGTGTATTTAAAAGTTTGGAAGCGCCTATGAAGTTAGTCTTGTTACAAGTAGAACAATCATTGTAAAGTCTTGCGGTTTTAAATTTTTTTTTATTTTTGCAAATTATCAGGAGGGTTTTTTTTCTTGTTATCGTGGCAGTATTACACAGCATGTATTTCATAGGCAACAAGTTGTTCTTAGTTTAGCTTTAGTTACAGAGGATATGTTTAGAATAAGTTTGGATTCTAGTGTATTGCTGCTCTTGCTTTGGTGTCCATTTGTATCATTGCATATGATCTTCCTGGTTTGAACTAATTCTTGGTTGATTATTAAAGCACCTTTTTTTTTTCCTTTTTTCTCCTCATCGAAGAACTATGATACTTTCTGATATGGAAGAGTAGGGGTGAGATGTAGTCAGGTAAAAGTGCATTGAAAGATTTCTGTCCCTTAAGAAGTCGAAGCTAAGCTTTGGACGTGCCTCTGGCTGGACTGTAGAAAAAATATTTTGTCAGCAGATAATTGAAAATTTGGAGCTGTACTTCAGCTCTCACTGAATTACATACCACTAAGATTGCTTAAATGACTTTACATAATCGTGGTATTTGCAACAGAGCCAGGGCTTTGTTGTAAAGAGTTGAGTCCCTTGCGCCACAGCTAACAAAGTGCACAGCAACCATTTTTTAAGTAGCTGTTACGGCATTATATGGCTGAGACAAAATACAAATAATTCTTCTTCCAGGAGGTTATGCTCACTGCTGGACTCACAAATGACTGAAATTAAGATGTTCTTACTTTTAAAGTTAAAAATATTACTTAATTCCTGCCTACCTTCTTGTCTCTCAGCTGGAGCATCTGGTTTCGTATTACACTGAATAAAAAGTGAATGCCACATGGGTTTGTTCCTCTTGGCTGAGCTTTCCTGCTGTCAAATGCTGCTTTTAGGTGTTGAAAATCTTTCTTTAAATACCCAGGCGAGTTTTGGTTATAAGCAGAACTTTTATTCACTATTTTATTCCATTTTCTTTTGTGCACTGAAATTTATGACTTAATGTTAGTATCTAATGAATTCCACAAATAAACACGATGCTCAAGTTATTTTTGCAGTTCCTGCCATGAACCGTTAGGACAGAGAGAGGACATCCAGAACAAATACTGGGATTTAAAACCATTGGCTGAACTGTAGTCTCTCCCATGGGGTCCTTGCTACTCCATTCAGCTAGCACATGTTAGGTTTTCTTCTTTCACCCATCACAGAAGGGCAAGCACATGTTTAAAAAAAATTTTTTTTGGTGAATTGGGAATTCCTCCTTTGTTCATGATCCCATGTTCATGTTTAGAGTCCAGTTTTCCATCTCCAAGCTGGAAAAGTCCTTAGGGAAAGTTCAGTAGGAACCTCTTTCCAAGTGTGATGCGTTTGGCTTCTCCCTCCAGTCTTGCAGCAGTTTTGTAGGGAGATTTTTGTCAGAGAAATCTGAGATTATTCTGAGTAGTTCTGGGGGAAGTGTCTTTAAAGGCAGGATGTAGCTTTCTGGAATTTTCCTGTCACATTGCTTACTTCTCGAATCACAAGAGGTTCAGTAGAAGACAAGGATCTCCTGTCAGGGAAGAGGGAATGTGTGAAGTGTTTGCTATGCTTCCTGAGAGGGGTGGGTTATGGGAGAGAAGGCCTCAGTTTAGCAACTTCTGAATCTGATCAGCTATGGAAAGCCAAACCATCCACTTTCTATGCAGTTTTTGAAACAGAGGAGATCTATTTTGCAGATCAGCATAGTGAGATTTTGAGATTACAAGCACTAATGGATTTTTAAAATGTGTTTGTAGATTGACAGCATAACAAAAATTGCATCAGAACTTGGCAGAAAGGGAGGTAACAGTGCTGTGGTGTGCACCTAAGTGCGTCTTCATGAATGATACCCTTTTTATTAAGTATTTTCTGTGGCATGCTATGAGCTAAGGAGTTAGTCAATTTAAGAAGGAAGTCAGTTCTATAAGGAATGCCCTGGTCAAATTTTGTATTCAGTCCTTGTATGATCATCATTTTATCCAGACCAGATGGTCTGAAGGCTCATTTCATTAAGCTTGTGGTTACTTGTAAGCATCAGAAATTCTTCTGTCTCTGAAATCTGTGAAGTTGTAAAATGTAATTGACACATTTAATAAATATTCTCTTGATTTAAGAACTGATACCTCCTCCTCTTTCTCTTTTAGAAGCTTGATCCTCTAAACAGCTCCAGGGTTTTTTTAATGTTGCTACCTTTGCCATCTTCAATACTAGATGCTGAATAGCATTTTAAAATAGTAGTAATGAATGTATATTAGATGACACATTTTTAAACTTCTTCAACTTCTAGTCAACACAGCTTGTGAACTTGTTTCAGGCTAGCAATCCTGTAATGTTGAATACTAGGACCTCTTCTGAGGTTGTTGCTGCTGGTCTAACTCCCAAGAGCCATGATCTGAGGAGGCAGATTGTATATCTCCAGCTGAGGTTCTTCAAAACATTGCCTGACTGGCTGTAT